GAGTTCAACGTCAATCTGTCATCATTTCTCCAGCTCATGCCTTTAGTAGTCCTCTCATGCATGCCAATGTTAGCTGCTGCCCCTCCGGCTGTTTTTGATTAATGGTGTGATAAATAGAACATTATTAGACAGCTTTGGAGGTTCTTGCATTAGGGCTTGCCTTCCTGATGTTCTTGGAACCCTTGGACCTCACATTATATTTGGGCCTTTGGAGGGTGAGAGAGCAGGTGGACAGGGTCCCTCCTGGTTATCTCAGCTGTTCCTGACCCGTCCACCAGCTTAGTGCAGACACATAAGCAAGCCCAATCAAGATCAGTCAAGCTTGATCCTGAAAGGATTAGTGCTTGGGCCAATCCTAATTGTGGACATCCAGAATACTGAGCTATGTAAATGGTGGTTGTTTTAAGCTATAAATATAGTTGGTTGGTTACACAGCAAAAACTAAATGATACCCCTTTTATCTACATGATTTTTAAAAAAAATTTCCCTTGCTCATACTTAACTGAAATTCATTTTTAATAGCTTTTCTTTTCTAGTTTTCATAGAAACAACCATTTTCATTCGTATTTTATCATTTTACCCAACTTTTAATTATATTCAGTTAGTATAATGGCAAGTAAAACTATCATAAGCATATCTAGGAAGAAAACCAATTGATTCCTGGTAATTTTAGAAATTGCTAAGGGAAAACGGAAGTGTGTGTGTGAACTCCAGAGCAACCTATCCTCATGAGCACTCATCTTGTTGCTGGCAAGAGTGAGTGAATGGCATCAAGGCCCAGGTGATGCTCTAGAAGATCTGCCATGTTGGAATGGCTGCATCCTATTACACTGCTAATATTTTAAACATCCTAACATTGCTGTGTCTCCCGCTTGAGTCAGAAAATGTCTTTTTGATCATTTAAAACTTTTCTACATTCCACTTATACTTTATGTAAATTGCCTCCTAAACATTTTTAAAAGTAAAAGGAATGTTTAAAATATTAAATTGAATTTTTGAGAGATATATAGTCTTATTGTATTTCAAAACATCAACATTGTTCATTATGTTATTATTAATCATGATAAGAAAATATTCACATTAGACCATTTCATTGATTTGTAATATAGATAAAAATTTTTAAAAATACCCATCATCCCAAACATTGGGCAAAATCAACCTAAATAAACAGTTTCAGTAAGCTCACTCTATTAGTAAGAATAGGTATTACAAAGCTTCTATAACAAACAATTCCAAAAACTTCAGTGGCTTAAAATAATATACTTGTTATTCTTGTTGATATGTCATAGTCAGTCCCATGTTGGTAGACCATGGTTTCTGTTCTACCTGAAACTGTTCCATCTTATCAGACAACTGTCATCCACATTTGGTCTCCACGAACCCATTAAAAAAAGTAAAAAGGAGGATATTGCAAATCTCATAACTGTCTCAGAAAATTGACACATGACACTTCTAATCACACTTCTTGCCCACTCCCCCTCCCCCCAAAAAATCAATGGCCTAATCTTTTCTGGACTAGAGGTGAGAAATGTGATTTAGCTGTGTCTCTAAGAAGAGGAGACAAGATTGTAAACCATCTGTATAGTCTCTGCCACAGTTCTTAGACCTACTTCTTCGTGCCATAAACCTTGGGGTATAAATATTCTGTTAGTTATAATGCAGGGCTGAGACAGATAGGCACTGAATTTGAGGGTCTGGTGATGTAGACATGGTCGAAAATTCAGCCATATGTTCTTGTCTTCAAACTGGTGCGTTAGGCATTTGAACATATTGATGGTTTTCTCTAGAGTTCAGATTCCTTTTTCTAAATGCTGGAAATAAGGAATTAATCAATTTCCAATTTTAAAGAGAGATTGGAAAATTGTTCTAGGAATCTTCTGGGGTGATGTTGGTGCCTGGGAACTGACTGAGATGGGACCTCGGAGGGGCTCCCTGACCTTCCCCATCACTTCCTCACCCCACATCTACTGACACCCTGGGTGGAAATCCAATATTCTGGCTTATTAGGAACAGATTTTTCCCTTCTGAACATATTTCCTCTCAACTTCAAAGCCTTAAAAGAAGAGACTTATAAACATGCTATATATATATATATATATATATTATATATATATATAATATATACACACACACAGATATATATATATATATATATTTAAAACTTTTCTTTATCTCATTCATACAGAGTCTTTTTTAATAAATGCATTTAATTTATGTGGTTTTTATTGAGCACTTACTTTGTGACAAGCTCTATTTTGGGAAATGGAACTACAAAGATAACAAATTAGAAAAATGCCTTTGAGGAACTCAAAGTCTAATTCATGAAATACCCACTCTTCATTTGTTTAACACAAAGATTCAATGAGCTTCTACATATGAATTGGGTTTTATTCTTAGGAACTGGTTAGGGTGATAGTTAAGCAAATCAGTCACATTGGGGGAGTACTATAAAGGAAAACACACATAAAACAATGGTGAGGAACTGACTGAGATTAGGTAACAGATCTTTACTGAAATTCAAACTCTGTAGCCAGTGATAAAACAGGCAAAGTAATTTGGGTATGTTCAAAGAAAGAAAGGAGGTCAGGGAGGATGGAGGATGTGATTGAGGGAATCTGGGCAAGTTGGAGGCTTTATGGAAGGTTTCTTCCTCCTGTATTTTCTTACCCCTTACCTTCTTAGAGGAGGTCTTCTCCAAGGAGGCCTGGGTGCTCCTGGCTGCAGCCAGGTAAGCATTCTGTATACGTCATTCATTACTTAGAGCTGCCAGAACAAAGTTGTGGCTAGAAGTGCTATAGCAAGGTGTCAGGAGGGTTAGTGTCTCCTAACCTATCTTGCAGATAGACATCTGGTATTCTGCCTAGCTTGCAGATGGACATCTGGTATTCTCTCTGTATCTCTGTGTCTCTAATTTCCTTTTTTTAAAAAAAAAAATATAATAAGGAAACTAACTTTATTGGACAAGACAAGGGTATGCCCATATGCCCTAATTTTACCTATTACCTCTTTGAAGACCTTGTCTCCAAATACGGTCTTGTGCTGAGGTACTGGGGCTAGAACTTCAATATACAAATCCTGATTCAGTCCATAATAAACACCTTTACGGTAGGAGGATTATTTCTCATTCCAATATGAAATATGTAGGAAAGGGTTTGGTGATGAGAACATTATAGATTCTGACAAAAGGTACAACTTTTAATAGAAATGGAAAACTATTGGTAGTTCGTTACAGTAGTGCTTTTAAAATATCATTCTCGTTGCTCTGTAACAAATGAATTTTTTGAATACATGAAGAGAGGTGGCTGACTAATTGAAGGAGATGCCAATAAATGTTCAGATTCAGGAACTATTTTGAGGTAAAGTGAGCAGAATTCATTGATAGTGGATGTAGACATTAGCAGTAAGAAAGGAATCAAAAAGAACAAAGATGGCGGGAGCCACAGACTATAGTCTTGGATTCCAGAATGGACTCTATGTGATCTTGAATAATTGATCTGCAAAAAGTCAGGGAGAGCAGTTTCCCCTTAAATTCTTTAAAGAATCTTAACTCTGTTACCCCCTAGCAGGACACTAAACTTGTGAAATAACCTCTCGAAGCTAAACCGTCTTCTAATAAAATGGATATTATATTATTCAGTCTGTAATTTGGGTAAAACTTCAAATTTTTATTTATGAAAATCGTAGATAACTAAGTTGAAAACTTTAATGTTACTTCATAAGGATAATAAAAAAGTCCCAGATTAATTTTTTTCTAAAAGGAATCATACTTGTTGAGAATTTATTTATTTCTTAAGACATTGCTGATTCATTTTAGCTTAAAATCTTAAGCATAACTTAAAGAAAAATCAGCACAATGGTGCCCCCCAAATATCACCTGCTTGTGTCTGACTGACTCTGTGTAGAGTTTCAGCCATTGCATAATTATCTAGCCTGGAAAGTACTGTTGAAAATAGCATCATGTTAGTCATAGATACCTAAGGATATATAATAATGAAGTGACTTAATAAGGACCCTGAATTGTGACAGTTAAAACTTACCCATTGCAAACACCAATCAACCAGCTTTTTGTTACTTGTCCCTTTGAAAAATAATTTGATTTTAGCTTCTCTAAGGGCCCTCAAACTTGGGGATCTGTGAGAGTTAGCCAACTGCCTTCAAGTCCTAACATAGCTGGGTCCCCCCACTCTTCACCTGCCCTTGCCCTGGAGAGAACATTAGCTTCTGAAGGCGGCAGTACAGGTTTCTAAACTCAAAAGTCCACAGAAGGGCTCCCCCACCATCCACTGCTCCTTAATTCCAGGCCAAGTGTGTGCTGGAGCTTCTGGGCACCAGGGTGAGGCAGAAATATGTAACATGAGCCAGGCTGGAGGTCAAGTTTTGTTTTCCTTTCACGACTTGCTTGCTGCTCCCCTGGAAACGGCTTCAGGGAGTGTTCTCTCCCTCACCTAATCATTGCCCCCACCTTCTTAGCCCAGATCCCCATGGAGAACTGAATGCTCCTGGCTGAAGCTGGGAAAGCATTTTTCACACCTTAAAGAAAATGTGCAGATTGAGGGTGGAAGGATTATTTTCCATTACAATATGAAACATTCTGGCCCTTTTCCCAGAGTTTATAACAGGCTTGGAAAAGCCTGCCCCCTCCCCCTCGCACCCCCAAAGTATAGTCCTAGAAACCATCGAGAAATGAATTGGGAAGTCTGGGCTTCACATCTTCCAGGGAAGGAGAGCCCACGCCAAGGGGAAAGTTGGAGCACTGGCCTTGTTATCTGCTCAGCTCAAGGTTACCCAGAGAGTCCCTTCATGCCTTTTCAGAGCCCCATGGAGGTTGATATATTAATTGAGGTTTAACTTAAGGGTCCCAGAAACTAGAGAGGTGGCTAAACACAACAATAAAAATGTCTGCATCCATTGACCTGTCCCTTTGATTATCTTTGATACCATTTATATGTCAATTCCACTATTGAATAACGGCCTCAGAAACCAAGTCACATACCAGTGAGTAATGCTATCAATGTTTATTTCTTGCTTACATCACAGTGAGATGGTCATGTGATTGGCATGATTCCACACAGTGGTTTAGGGACCAGGAAATTTCTATTTCCAGGGGCTTGGAATTTTTCATCAGATCCTCTTCCTTCTGTTCACAGGACCTTGAAGGAGACTTTAAGAGCTGGAAATGGAAGTAGAGCAGCGTACTATGCCAGTGTACCATTGGCCAACTCCAACTCAGGAAAGTCTGGAAAATGTATTATGCTGAATGCCAAAGAAGGAGAGGAAATTCACAGATGTCAATGAGCACATTTATGCTGTCTCAGAAGAATAAAAGTGTCAGTCTGAATTGTCATCAGTCCTTGCATATCAGTAAGAATGAAGGGTTTGAGATAAGAAAAGAGCCCTTGGGGACCAGGAAGAAGAGAAGAAGGATGTATTGTTGGAATACTTTCTCATGCTTTCTTTCCTATCTATTGTCTATAGTCACAGACTTTGTTTTACAGCAGGTTGTGGAATTTGTTTCTGCACTTTGACTATATAATCTTTATCTGTAGGCCCCTCATTCCTGCCAACTTAAGAGTACAGGAAATTTGCTACAAATTTCTGAATGTCTAGCACTTACCACAGGACCCAATTTATAATAGATGCTATATGACTTTACCAAGATGAGTAATGCATTACTATCAAGAGCACCTAACAGCAACCTTAGTTCCCATTTACTGTCTCATAGTGTCAAGGCATGTGTAACTGGCTTCTGTTTCAGGTTCTCACTAGTCTTTAATTTTTAATACATAGGAAGGCTGCATTCTGATCTGAAGGCTCAAATGGAGAAGACACTGCTTCCAAGCTCACTCCAGTAGTTAGCAGAATTAATCTCCTCTAGGGCTGAGGTATTGGCCTCTTGTTGGCTGTCAGCCAGGGACTGTTCTCAGATCCTGGAGGCCTTCTGCAGTTCATGGTCCTGGGGCCTTCTCCGTAGACCCTCTCACAACATGGAAGTTTACTTCTGTTAAGCCAGAAAGGGGAAAAAGCTCTAGAATCCGCTTTCTAGCAAGACAGAGTCTTATATACTGTGTCATAATGCTGTGTCATAATGATTGAGTAGCATTCTGTCACTTCCACCATATTCTGTTGGTTAGAAGCAAGTCACAGGTCTCACTCAAGGAAGGGCATTACAATAGGATAGAGATACCAGGAGGTGGGAACCATGGAGACCACCTACAAGGCTGTCTTCCCTTTGAGCTGAATTCTAATTTGATGAGAAAATGAATAGATGAGAAGGGAAGGACCAGAAATACAGAGACTGGTGGTGAAGTAACCTATACTGTTCACACTTTGCAAACTTAGAATCTCGCTCTTATCCTTTATAACATTGACAACTATACTTACCTCACAGAAGTGTGAGATGATTTAAAATAGAAAATTTACATAAAATATCTATGCTAGCAAAAGGAGGTATTCAACAAAATTTCCTTTTCTCTAACTTGCTGATGGCCTTGGTAGATCACTTCCTCATGCTGGGGCTTAGCTGACTCTTCTACAAATGAGCAACTTAGTCCCTGAAGATGTTCTGGAGGCCACTGCCAACTTGAAAACTCACACCACTGGACAATGATGACCTGACGTGACAGTGACTTGTATGTTGTCTCTCTTAAAAAAAAAAAAAAAAAAAAAAACTTGAAAAAAACTGAAGGCAAGTGATAAAGGGTTTCCCTCCTGTCACATAATCATGGACTTAAGGGCAAAGGAAGTATTTCTCTTTGGCCAGCTAGTTGGAGAAACTTTAGAAGCTGGATATAAAAAGATTAGCCATTTAATATTTTGTATGAAATAATCAGCGATTTGATCATCTGGTTCATTTTATATATCACTGTCCTTCAAAATGCTTGAAATCTTCAGGCAGAGAATTTTGATATATATTCTTATCTCTTTAAGCCTTTATTAATAAAACACAAATTTAGTTAAAAGAGCCACAATTCTATCTCTACTGCAAAGTAAAGAAGAGGATTTCTGACAGCTTAAAAATCTGGAATTAGACACTTTTTGATTAATTTACTTAAAATGAAATCAATATACTTCCTGGGGGGAACAGATGGAAAAAAAAATGAGGTTCAAGTCAACACTTGGACTGATAACCACACTGGCTGAGCATGCTTTGTGTTTACTGTTCATCTTGCTGTGCAATTCTTCTGGGCTTCTATTTCTCACACTCAAAAATTCCTGTTTTCCCCTAACTCTTTTTCTTGCCATCTCTGCTGGACGCACCCAGAAGTATCCAGGGGAGTGGTAACAGAATTATCATTTAGCCTGAGGTCATTTCCCGGTTTTTTTCCTTCTCAAAATGAGGTGTTTGAATGATTAGAAAATTCAGCCAGCATCCATTTAGCTTGGAGGAACTCTCTGGGGGGTGGGGGGGGCTTCTTTCCTCTAACAAGGCCCTTACAAATATTTCCAGGGGCATTCAGAGGTGTCCTGACTCCAAAGAGAAAGCCTTGAGTCTATTAGGTTGAAAATATACCTGTAGAAGCAAATTGAATTTAGAATTCAAGACAAAGTCACATTTTCAGGTATATTTTCTTTGTCTTGAATTCTGAAAGCCTGCCCCACCTGGGAGGCATGCAGCATGCTCCAGGGTAGAAGACAGGCATGTGAATCAGTGAAGGAGGCTCACTTGTCTTGCTCTAGACCTGCCTGCTAGACAGAGCAGGGAGTTCCCTACTGAGAACTTCGAGGCTGCCATGACAAGTCATAAGAGCTTGGGAACCTCAACACAGTTCTGGATGCTGATGTCCACAATCCAGGTGTTGCAGGATGGGCTTCTTTCAAAGGCTCTAGAAGAGAACCCTTCCTTCCATCTTCAGGCTTCCGGTGGTCCAAGACATTCCTTAGTTGGAGGCAACATAAGACCAGCAGCTGCCTCCTCCTTCACATGACCTCTCTGTCTGTGCCTTTTTCTTACAAAAATGCTTGTCATAGGATGTAGGGCCCACCTGGTTAACCCAAGATGTTCTCATCCCAAGATCCTTTATTTAAATCCCTAAGGTCTTTTTTACAAACAACGTTAACAGTTACAGGTTTCAGGAGGATAGACCTTTCAGGAATCTCTCTTCAACCCGCTACACTTTGTAAACAAAAGTTTGAAATCCGGAAATAGCAACCTGGAGATGATCTTTGAACAGCTGTTTATTTGGCAAATCTTTGCTCAGTGCTCACTTTGTCCCTGATATGACTTGGTCCAAGTTAGACCATAGCAAAAACAAACAAAAAATATTTTGGCCCCATTCTCAAAAAACTTCCAATCTATTGGGAGAGAAAGAATCTTTGATTTGAGGTAGTGAGTGCTAGAAGGGTACACAGATTTAATTTTAAGAATAAAGTGACTGTTGGGGTTGAAATAACTCCATCCAGTGTTCAGGGGGTGCCAGGTGATCCATCCTCCAGGAAAGTATTTATTTTTACAAATATTATTAAGAAAAAGAAGAGGGTTTGATTTCAGGAAAATAAATCATTATTTACTATTATCATTATGTAAAAGTACATTTGATGTTGCAAAAAGAGAGATCACTAGGAACTAGAGCTGGTGAGATAATAGAGTCACAAAACGTTTTCAAGTCATACCCTAAAATTATCCTCAACTACTCTTTATTAAATACATATTCAGGGGCTGGGGTTGTGGCTCAGCGGTAGAGTGCTCACCTTGAATGTGTGAGGCTGGGTTCCATCCTCAGCACCACATAAGAATAAATAAATAAACAAAAGGTATTGTGTCCAACTACAATTGAAAAATAATTTTTTAAAAAAATACATATTCAAACTTGACATTCTTACAAGTCAGGGTTATCAGGGTCACCTCTTCCAAACTACCTGAAGCCCTAAGCTCAAGAGACTGCCCCAAATGTTGGCATTTCTTTCTCTTTTTTAAATATTTACTTTTTAGTTGCAGTTGGACACAATACCTTTCTTATTTATTTTTATGTGGTGCTGAGGATCGAACCCAGGGCCTCCCACGTGCTAGGTGAGCGCTGTACTGATGAGTCACAACGCCAGCCCAATGTTGGATTTCTAAGGCCGTTCCTCCCACATCTTTTGTCTCTTGTGTATTCAATTCCACAAGTTCTGCAGGTTCACTGCCCATCGTATCAGGATTCTCTCCACCTCACATCTTCTTCAAAATATCGCACCTTCTTGCTTGAAGTTTTGTGATGCCCTTGTCATTAGTCCCATCCTTTTCCACCGTCCATTCTCTACTGAGCATTAATTATGTCTCTTGGAAACACCAACCATCTTATTCCCCTGCTTAAAAACCTGTAGTAGCTTTCCATTGCACTCACAATAAGAATGGAATAAGGTTTCCATAAGACATTGGCTGTGTATTCCTCTCTAAACTCATCTCCCGTCCCTCTCCTCCCTCGACATTAGTCCCAGGCACAATGGCTTGCTTTCTGTTTCCTGAGCAAATAAAGGGCTTTTGCATCTGTGCCTGGAAAGCACTCTCCCCTTCCATCTTTCCAGGTCTATTTTCAAGGATTAAGCTTAAATCTCTCTCTCTTAATGAAAATCCCCCTAATCACTAATCTAAATTATGCCATCTCACTCAGTCTCTGTTAGCTGCATCCTCACCATCATGCCATCCTGCTCTATTTTCTTTATTACTCTTTTAATAGCAAAATCATCTTCATTTATAGTTACTTGTTTATTGCCCATCTGCTCTCAATAAATATAAATTTCATGAGAACTAGAAACTTGTCTGTGTGTTTTACTATTGTGTCCCAAAGTCTAGATCAGTCTGAAACACACAGCAGATGCTTAATAAATATTTACTCAGTGACTGAATAGCAAATTCAGTGTCATCTCCTATTCTCTATTACTTAAATGTATTGTTTCTTAATGCCATCAGCTCTATGAGAGCAGGCATCATTTCGTTTTTCTCCTTACTCAATATAATTTTCAACACACATAGCTGTAATTGATAAATATATTTTAAACATTTTTTGAAAGGGAAAAAATGGGATTCTAGGATTTCTGCTGAGTGCCATTTGGATCTGTCTTGTATTTTAGGGACTATGCCTGGTCCACTGTCCTTTGCTGTTTATTCAATGATATCCAGGCTGTTTTTCTAGTCAGTTTCTATTTCTCCTTCAGCAAACACATACTGGACTGTCTAAGAGATGTAGCAAAGCGTGTCTTGGTTTCTTGGCTCCTCTTCCATGTCTCAGACTCCTACATACCACAGAGAGCTCCATCCCACAACAGCTTCCAAGGCCTTATCTATAGAAAAAAGAAACAAACAAACATAAAATAAAATTGCAGTGACTATTATCTGGAAGAGCATATTGTGCTTTACTGAAAGACACCCAAACCAGAACTGTTCAACCTTTGACCTTGTGGACACTTCTGCCAATTTTATTTAATGGCCATTGTCATTACATGTATGGCTCTTCTGGTGCTGTCTGCTTAGAGCCAAAGGAAGTCCTCTCCGTATCGCTTTTGCTGTCAGTACATCCCTGAAACCAGCAAGATTTGTGAATACAGTGCCTCAGGAGATGGCGTCTGGGTAGCCTGGATCAGACAGACACTGCTCTCCACGTGAAGTAACCCTATCTGTGTGCGCTCAAGTTTTAAAGTTGACCCTCATTAATCATGGCTTTGGTTCCCTTAGACATTCCAGAACTGATCTATCCTTCTTTTCCCCTGAGCAACAATCCATATAGATCCCCGATAAATTATTTATTCCTGAAGTGACTTGGTCTGGCATCACCTAGCCTTCTATAACCTCCTGCATATGAAAGAGAGAAATGAATGACTTGGGCAACTTCAAAGTGTTGTTTTACTTTCCATATAGTCATTAACTTTAAATGTTCCCCAACTAATAGTCCAAGACACTGTAAAAGAGGTAATAAGTTCAAAGGAATATGAAACATAAAGCAGAACTCCTCCGGAGTCATTTGAAAGTATTTTCTCTAAATGTGTGCAAGCTTTCAAGGCTGCTAGGCAAAGGAGCCTGGATCGGCATTTTGGCGAGTGCTGAAAAGAATTTTCCCCAAGTGGAGTGTGTAAGTGAGTTGCCAGGCCAACCTCTTTGAGAGCGGAGGCATGTCCTTGGAGGATCCGCTGTTCCAGGGAATGCGGCACTGACCTGGCTCACTCCCCTTCCAATTAAAGACCAATTTGTCTCTTTCTTTAAATCCCTTTCCTTGTTTGTATCTGGGTGCTCCAGGTCACTTGTGGAGGGTTGGTCTATTGCTCTACACCACAGGGTGTTGCCTGTGTAGGAGAAAATTGCAAATGGATTAAGTTATATAAACTACAGATCTGAGTGCCCATTATAAAATCTTTAGTCACTGAGTCAAATTGGGTGTGGGATAAAGGTCAGAACCTTATGTATTCTCAGAGACATCAGGACCAAAAGGATGCCTTTCTTCAAGCAGACAAATCTCTTCCTTTGGGACAGTCACCAGAGAATGGGTTTCCCAGGAGGAGGCTGGTCTGAAAATCATGAAGCGCTTCTGCCATTGCTTACACTTTCTGTTCCTCAATTTGCCATCCCAGGGGGCAGCTGCACATTCTGCATTCTAGCCTTGCTTTCTGGGTAGCTAGTTGAACCTAAAAAGAGCAGAGGTGGCATTAGCTTATCTTTGTGGCTTTCAGTGCAGGTGTACAGAGGCAGGTTCAGATCCAGTGTGGAAGGCCTTGTTCAGACCCAGTGTGTACCTGGCATTCCTGGCACAAGCCAGGTGCCATCTTTCCACACCCACACCCACACTCACACTGGATCTGGTAAGGAAGGAGATATCCAGGGGACACTGAACTGTAGCAGACTCTGAGCAAAAAACAAACACAAAAAAAAATTAAGAGAAGCAGAATTCAATCTAATCGAATATTATATACAAATGAAACCTAATATGGACCTTTCTTTCACGGTTTTTTATTCATCACCTTCTTCTCCCAAATTATTATGATGATTAAAAAAAAAGAAAAACATTACTTACTATAAAGTGTTTTAAAATTTGGGAAAGAAGTAAATAAAAATCATTCATATTGCTGCCACCTGAATAAGACACCACTGACAAGGGCAATAATTCTGATTATTGTTCAGTGCATGCATCTTATCGACAAAAATAGAATCAATATGCAATATATCTATTTAATCTATTTTTACCAAGTAATTTAATATAAATAATAGATAGATAATAGATATATTGGCTACATAATCAATTTTAATGAATTTGCTATTTGAATATCCCAAATCTCCTGCGGTTAACCTTGTAACTTATTTAAACTTTTTCTCTCTCAGTGATAATTATAATTCTAGTGAATATTTTTAAGATGAAACTATGGTATATTCTAAAGATAACTTTTAAAATAAAATTTCTGGATTAAAATACAAGCACATTTCTAAGAACTGTGATAAATATTCTCAAATTTGCTTCCAGATATGATGCCTTGGCCAAAGTGTTTGCAGTTGCCTATTATGTGGAGCACAGCACATAATCACTGAAAAAACAATGTTTTCAAGTTTGATGGAAAAACGATTTTGCTTGACTTGTATTTTTGATCATTTGTGAGCCATCTGTTTTCTTATGTTTTCCTTTACTATGTGTATTTTGATTTTGCATTTATGCCCTTTTATCTGTTTTATTATTGCTAGTTTTTCTCTATTTAAACTTTCAAATTACCACAAAGAAGGGTTGTCTTCAGATTGTCATGAGCACCCTTGGAGACCTGCATGATGCAGGTGTCAAAGCTTCTCATACCTTCGGGTCTTATTCCTCCTGGGCGTCTGGCACTGAACTCCCTGAACTGCTCTGAGATTCTCCCTCTGATTTGCAGCATTAAGTTAATGTCAGGCTTGAGAATGAGGGTGCTTGTTCTAGGGAGCAGGTGGCATAGAATGCCTATATAGAGTATGTCGACACGACACCTGAACATAAACTCGTGCAAGATCATAAAAGGTCTTCAATACCACGGATTTCAGACTCTTTCCTATCAGCAATAGGGAGCCATAGAGGAATTTTGAGTGAAAGACATAAAGAAAAGCTGTGTGTGGGAGAAGATCCAGAAGGTGGCACTATTGTAACGTGTCTTCTGCCTGGGTTTCTCCCAGGAACTTAAGGTTTATATGGCAAGTCCATGGGTGAAAACACACCTATTCGTGAGTATTCACTGTGGACTACACTGAGATGGATCCTTCTCAACCATGAAAGAACTTGTACAAACCAGACCTGTATTTGTGCTTGTTTTTAAAGAAGCATTATTCATTTCCACTCAGAACCTGGCGTTTTCTTCCCAAATGTCTCTAGTGCCACCCCAAAGACCTGGATGGGAAATTTGATGATGACTCATACCAGCCCTGGATGCTGTAGATGCTAAAAAAGGATGTATGTGAGTTGCCTGAGTCCCTTTCTATGCCTTCATATGCATGAGGCTTTTTCTTCTGATATCAAAGCTGCCTCTACAACTTATTACTGCCATATCTGGTGAAGGCTCGAGTAGTACCTTTTGAGTCCACCAGGTTGTGAAAACATCAGGGTAGCAGGGGAGCTGTGTAGTATACAGCACTCTGTATTACGGTGGGCACCTCCATTCTTCCCAATTGCAAAGTGCATAGTACAACTGACTAGCTCATCGTTGTCTTCCATTAGATTCTATATACAGGTTAAATGATCACAACAGAATACTAATTATTGTGCATCTTGAGATACAGGAGAAGATTCGGGAATTCCTCTGTTATTCTAAAACATATTTTTAAATTTTTATCATCTTCTTTCACTTGATTCGATTTGTCTGAAATTTCTCCACCTATATAAAAAAAATAAAGATTCAGGGCAAAACACAAGTTGAAATGTTTAAACTGGATCCACTCTGAAGGACAGCGAGGCACATGTTTGTAGTTGGGAATCTGGCAGCAAGGAGTTAGAGGGCTGATGGTCAAGATGTTCTGGTTCAGAAGTTAGAAAATAAATAATTCCTGAGAGGAAGGATTCTTCGGCTCTGGGCAGCTGATACGGCAATAAAATAAATAGGCAGTAAAACACACTTCCTGTTTTGAGAGTTCGCATTTCATATTGGCAAAGCGCATCTCTTAAATTCAATCTCATGCTTCCATAAATAAACCTGGCACCTTTTTAAACACTTTTCCATCTGCTTCAGGATGAGGAGTGCATTATTGAATACACCTCGGGGAGTCCCAGAAATGGGGAAAGACTACTTGTGAGGAACACAGCTCTGCAATTGGCCTTGACCCAGAGATGTCATCCCAGACTTCTTGAGTTCAGACCATTGAAACAAGAGCCGGAGGTGCTTCCCAGCCCCCCTCTTCCCTTGAGTGGTCAGAGCTTTGCTGCAGGAGGAGCCACAGTGACCTTGGGTTGGGTCAGGGCTAGGCACGTTTGCAGGATTTTTTGCTCTGATACCTGTGTATTTCTCCTCCAGCTCCTGAGACTCTTCTCCAGTTTATTAATCCAGTTTCCTAGGTTGGAGAGAAAAGCCCCATTATTCACCTGTGTTAGAGCTCAAAGGAAGAGGTCCGGTGCACAGACTGTGGAAATTTCACAATGTTTCAACTCTCTGTTCATCTGTTTGGTGGTGGGCAGCAGGGATCTGGTGTCATGGAGAAATAATGCGAGTCCTACTGTTCCTATAAATGGTGTGATCTTAGGTCAGGAGATAACGGTATCCTGAGAGGATTGTAAGAGAAAGTGAATTAAAACTCAAAAACTCGTTTGGCACAGTGCCTGGCACCAAGTCAGCAATCCACGAGTGGCAGCTATGTTCAGCTATGTATGGCTTTTCATCACCAAAATAAATACCTGAGATAATCGGCTTATAAAGGGAAAGGTTTACTTTGGCCCAACGTGCGGGAGGTGTCAGTCCATGTAGGTTGGCCCTATGCTTTGGACAAGGCAGCACCTCACGGCAGAAAGTGTGGCAAAGCAAACCCACTCCTCTCCTGGCCAGAAGCCAGAGAGAGAGAGGAGGGCCTGGCGACCCACCAACCCCTTCAAGGACACATCCCTAAAGACCTCCTGCTACACCTCACTTCGTACCTCTCCATCAACCCCTAATAACTGCACTCTGGGATGTAAATTCTAGCAAGTTTCTTTACCACGTAAACTTTGTGAGTCAAAGACTGGGGACAGACCCACCCTGGCTCAGCTGGCCAGGAGCAGGAGTTATCATTCAATGTCTCTATTTACCATGTGAAGCGATTATTAAATATCAGATGCCAGGTCTTAATATTTCTATTTTACAATCAAATTTTAAAATCACATATACAATTAAATATTATTAAGCCTAAATGCCATTGATTATAAGATATTATGGATTGAATATTTGTGTCCCAACCACTCCTAGGTGGAAGCCTTAATTCCAGTGTGATACGGGATTCAGAGGTGAGGCTTTGGGAGGATGATAAGGTTGTAAGAACGGATCCCTCATGAGTGGGTTGGTGTTCTCAAAGAAAAGCCCAGAAAGTTATCTGGTGCTCTTTCTCCCCTATGAGGTCACAATGAGAGATTAGTAAGCTGAGGCTTGGAAGAGGACCCTCCCCAGAAGCTATTCATGTCAGCTTCCTGGTGTTAGACTTCTAACCTCCAGAACCATAAGAAACAAAATTCTGTTGTTTATAGTGCATCCAGTTTATGGTGCTTTATTACAGCATCCTGAGCTAAGACAATGTGCCATTCTTTAAGGTCTGCTACCTAAGGAAGTTTAAAAACTGCCAATTATAACTGCAAAATATCACCAGTTGCAAGGCATGTCAGAATTTCAGAGATTTAAAATATAGAGACAAAAAGTGTCTCTGAAACCGTGGAAATACGGCAAAGAGCTTGCTCCACTTCATACAAAGCTAGTGGCAGAATGGAATTTTAATTCAGAGTACTCTGGCTGGATATAATACCAGTGCCTCTAAGCTTTACCAGCCTCTCCCAAGCCCCCAGTGCCTGTCATAGGAAAACTCTGACTGCTGCAGCCCTGCTTTGCTCTCTGGGGTATCTTTGTCTGATTGTCTCCTCCAATTTTTATTAGGACCCAGCCCACACCCAGTTGCCACAGCTCTGGCTTACTTGAACCTGGGATGCCAGGCAGAGTCACGCCAGGCCCCAGCACTGGGACCAGCCCCAGCCCTGGCACCTGCTGGACCATGTTTCAGAGGAGAGAGGAAAGCAGGAGGCCAAGGGAATGCTGAGCTGCTGCATATATGCATCTTGCATGTTTCGTGGTCAAGGGATGACATCCTGAGCACCACAGCTGTTAGGAGAGTGCAGGCCAGCAACTCAGGTTGTGGTTGGAGTTGGTTTTCAGCATGATAAGATTCTGTTTTCCGCTACAGACATAAGTCTGTTTTTCTCTCTCTCTTTTTTTTTCCTTCAATGAATCTGGAGCTTTAATATGTGCAACTTCACATAATGTTCTATCTGATTCTATCTCTAGAACTCCTCTTTGATTTTGTTCCTTTGTGAAATATGTTGCTACAACTCCTGCTTTGCTTCTGTTCCAAAATTAGATGTCTGAAGATGAAAAAAATCAAAAACTCTGTTACTCCAAAGTCACCATTATAGAAGCAGAGCAAGTGGTACATTTACTAAAATTGAAAAGATGGTATGAAATTATACTGCCCTTGGGTGGAAATAAAACAGGATTAACTCTAACTTCCTGTTCTATCTCTGGCCAACATCACAGTCTTGGTAAGTTGGTTCCCCTCATTGAGTCTTGGTTTCCCCCCTATAATCAAGGGAACTCCACTGGGTACACACTCTAATCCCTCTTGACCCTGACATTCTGATTCTCAGACATTTCTCTCCTTAATGATGTGGACATCATTGTTATTTTTTGTCTGTGCTCTCATAAATCAAGATATCTTGGGGATCCTAACATTTTTACACTTTTCACAGTACTACTGAAATCTTGAAGCAACCCTAAATCTTTTCTTTGACAATGTGCTTCCTGGTGATTTTGCTCTCCCTGGAGTATCATACGGTGATTTTCTGTCTATGTGTATCACAGCCTTGACAGGTACCCTGATGGAGCAGTGTGAGAATGTGACCCATAGCTGAGCCCACTCAGTATCTATTTGGCCTGGTGGGGCCTCTGGGCACAGCAGGACATCTTACCTGACTCCATGCAAATCTGAGTCCTGTGCCCCGTTTCCATCTCTCCTCTGAGGTCCCTTGCAATCTTGCACACAGTCAGTGTGTGTGGTTCTTCATTTACATATTGGTTTTCTCAGGTAGATGCTTGCAGGTCCAGAATGTACTAATGGATCTACAGAACCTGATACAGAGCCTGGTACTGTGATGTGGGACTTCAGTGAATAGCTGAACATGAAATTTCTTCCGTGGGTAAAGGTAGGAGGAGCGTCACTGGGCCACTGCTTAGGGGAGAACTAAGGGGACCTCAGAAACGGTTCCTAGCCCATTATCAACATTTGTCCTACCTTCTGATGGGTTCTCATTGAGTGTGTGTGCATTTGTGCATGAGCTTGCTTGAATTTGACTGTGAGGTTCACCTAAATTTCTTACCTCAAGGATTCTGAGTCCATGCAATGTATTGTTCTAGAATTAGCTTACATGGTGTTTTTGTTGCTATTCAACATTTGCCTCTTATTTTACTAAGCATTGGCACCATGCTCCTGGGAAGGAATTAGCACTCTCTGAGAAATTGCAACAATGGTTCCTTTTTTATAGCCCTTGGATTCCCTTTTATTTCCTTTTAATTTGCTTCTGGAACAACATGCCAATTATCCCAGTGTCCCTATCTTGGACCTCTGAACTTTCCCCTTAGAAGTTCTCTGAGCATAAGGAATCACCTGGCTTTATCCTCATCTCTTTTAGAAGCTCTTTCTCGATTAACTTAGCTATTTCAATCTTCAAGTCATCTTGGCAACCTCATCATCTCTTCATGTTGCAAGGACTTTTGATTGATTATAGGTTTCATCAGGCACATTTTTTCCCTTGCTCCCTGCCTCAGTAGATCCATCCAAACCCTTCTGCAAGACTCGTTCTGAGGGGCCAAATCATTTCCACTTATTTGTTCATCTTTAGGGCTATGGAGAATCTGGTACCATGCCAGCCACATCCTGCATGGTTGGCCCACCTATTTTAACCTTCCTCAGATATCCACACTGCCAGATGTGAGATATGGGGAGGATGGAAAAAGTGAGCCTTCTTGCAAGTGTTTTTCTTCTCCTAAGACCAGTGTTGGAGCAAGTTTAGGTCAGAGGCACACCTCAGGCCATCGGATGCAGAGTGTGCATTGGGGCAGCATCTGTCTTGTCTCAGAGCAACCCCCGTTCACAGCCTGTAACATGCAGAGACCATCAGCCCCTTTGATCCAAGAACTGCATCAAATCATCTTGACCCTTTGAGGAAGATATGCAACCTGGACCGAGTGGAGCCAGATGACTTTTTTTTTTTATTACCACAACATAAAACAATATTAAATGATTTCATGAATTGTAGCCAGAACATCTGTTATTAAATGTTAGAAATCTGATTTATTCAATTCTAGCAAACTGGCACTCAGCCCTAAAGTAATGCCTCCTCGCCTTTGGGGCAAGGAGTTACTGGTTGCCAGTGTTCGTTTTGAACACACCATCCTTTCCACGTGTCACATGGCTGCTCTTCTGCTTTCTGATTGATCATGCCCCTATTGAGGACAAGGACATCTTGGAGGAGGGATGGTTGAAATGTGTACCATGCTGTGCTGTTTCTATGGGAAGTCCAGCAAAACCCAGGCTGTCACGGGCAGAGAACAGGACATAAAGGAAGGCAGGATTATGGGTAGACCCCTGCAGGCTGTAGAGCCAATACACAGAGTTGAAAAGCAGCTTGTATTTCATAGCAATGACCAATTTCCCCAAACTATTAAGTTTGTCCATTTCTCCTCCAGCTACCACTTATGCAGCCTTCTGTATCACACTGTTCTAGCCCAGATGAAACTTCAGGAAAGACTCAGCTCAAAGCTCTGATGGAACATTTCTTTGAGGGATATGGATCACTGGTCCTACGGACATTAACATTTTGAAGAAACCAAAGTAATAAATGCAAATCCTGACATCTGATAGTAGAATTTCTAGGTGTGTGTGTCAGTCAGCATTGGAGAAGAAATGAGAGAAAAAAAAAAAAAACAGACAAAATCTTTTGGAAAATGGGGAAATTCCCAAATCATCAAATCATTCATTTTGATCTAACATTTTTTTTTCATTGACATTTATTCACTAATTATTTTTCAAATATTTACCTGTGCTAGTCACTGTTCTAAGCATTGGGAAATGAGTGATGAAAACATAAAGAGACTATCTATTAACTAACCAAGTTGACAGTCTGATAAGGAAAGTGAGACACTGGCACTAACTATAAAGTAGAACATTGTAAATCATGAGGGAGTCACAGATAAAGGTCTGTGGAAAGTTCAGGGGGAAAGAAATAAAATGTCCATTGGAAGTTTCCAAGAAGGGTTTAACAAAAGACAAGGGACTTGGGCTGGACCGTAGGAAGGACAGGTTGTTGGAAAAGGGAAGAGGGGCAGAGGTGATTGCAAAGGGAGGTAGTTACTGGAGAAAACCATGAATCCAGCACAACTTGAGGAATGTTTGATGTTGGAAGATCTTTGGTGTCCCTGAAGCCTCGTGTACTTGTAAAGGAATAATAGGAGTCAAGAATGGAAGATGTTCAGGAGGCCCACATAATGAAGGTCTAAGTCCAGGCAAAAGCATCTTCAGTTGGACAAAAGATTCTGAATATGCAAATCAAACTGTAGTTTATGCATATTAATCTGAGGTCAGGTATAAATTGACAGCAAGTGTTACTGCTGTTGACCGGTGACGAGTCCTTGCTTCCCCAGTGTTGTCTCTCCATTTTATAGTTTTCAGTGATGAAATGTAGGTGGGAAGGCCGGAGGGGTGGGACACAGGTGGGCCAAAGAAGTAATCTGGGCAGCGAGGACTTCTGAGGCCGCATCTTCAAGTTTGCTGTTCATTAACATTTCTTTGGGATGGACTTTGGGCCTAGGGCTTTTCCTGGGACTTCACTAACATTCCAAGAGCTGTCCTGTGTTTCCCGGAATTCATTCTCAGCATGGCCTCCCTTTTAAATCTTCCTCGATATTAGACCCGATTTACCTAACTACATTGACCATCTAACTTTAAATCTGGCTTCGCAAGGACACCTGAAAAGAAAAATACGGAGAGAAGTGATAGAAACTTGCCCTGGAGCAGGTGTTGTGTAGAAGAGGAAATCCAGGGGATAATTTACAACAGAGGAATTGATGGGTTTTCTGAAGTTATGTGCTGTTACAAGATGAGTCAGAGTCTTGGAATCAGGCTATGGAATGAACTTCATTCTTTGCTCACTTTGGACCTACCTGGAGTCAGCCACAGTTTCCCCAGGCTCCCTTCTCCTCCTCCTCCTCCTCCTCCTCCTCCTCCTCCT